TTTCTTGCTCGGGGGCCAGTCAGTGGCATGGCAGTTAAGGCAGCTGGACCCCCTATGGCCGACAGCATGGTATGAGTCCTGGATCCAGTGGCTTGAAAAAAACATTCTGGACACATGTATGTGCGTGCCCCAAATTCCGAGTGAGAGTCCAGCACCTTAACCACCATGCCACCTGCTGGCCCAATGTAAGTTTTGTTATTGGGGGCTGGTCTCCTCTCCCTCCCTCCCCCTCCTTTCCCTTCCTCCTCTCTCCTCCCTTCTCCCCTCCCCTCTCCACAGCTAGACCACTGTCAGCCACCTAAACCACCATGCCCTGGCTGCCCCTCGCAATTTTGGCTTCTTACATTAGAAGCTTAGACGTTTCTTTCCCTTGACGTTTGACAGTCTCACAGGTTATGTCCAAGGGGTGACTTCCCTTACCAGTTTCATTTGGGGACTCATGAGCCACCTAGATTTAAGGACTTCTCCCCGGATGGGACCCTAGTTTTCCCGAATATCACTGACAGTTCTTCTACCCAGGATGTTTGTGTTGCCAAATCCCAGGTCCACACTAAGTCTGCATCTGCCTGGACCTCAGCAGTGCTGCCCCTCCCCACACGCCTCCCACCTGCTCCTCCTGCCGCGGCTTCACAGGAAGTCACACTGGGGTGGCATCTTCCCTCTGCTCTGGTCCCATTGGCCTTTGCTGCTGCTTTGTCTGTCCCCGTCATTTAACTGGGGCTCTCCAGATTTAGGGCTCCTCTAAGATTTTAGATTCCTTGAGCATCAACTTCCATCTCAATTCTGACTTACAAATCGTCCATTTCCAGTCGGCCCACGGCCCACGCCATAGGCTCACGTGTTGAGCTGCCAAGTGGCTTGTCCACTGGATGACTAATAAGTACCTCGAATATGGGTCCACTTGGAGCTGCTGCCTTTCCTGGCCCAGTCCCCCGGCATCCCTCCCATCCCCACCTTGACCTTCAGCTCAGTCGATGGCACCTCCATCTTCCCAGTGGCCTGGATTATGGGACCTTGGTCTCACACCCATATGGATTTACAGCTGCAGCCGGTGTCTCTCCCTGCAAAGAGGCCAGAGTCCCAGCAGCTCCCGCACCTCCATGGTTGCCCTGCTGATTCGAGGCTCCACCATCACTCAGGAGGTGTCCAACTGTCTCTCCACCCTCGCACGCCCCCTCCCAGGACACTCTCTCTCTTTTTGTAGAGGTTTTTGCTTCAGTGCATATGTGCTTGCTAGAGGGAGAGAGACAGGGACAGAGATGGCGAGAAGGAAAGTGAGAAATCACCTCCAGGGGCATGGCCATGCCACAGTCCCTTCTCCTCCATTCTCCTCCCAGGATCTTGGGCATGCACACACACGCGCCCGGCATGAGTTTCAAGTCACTGGGTCCGGATCTCGAACTGCAGTGAACCACGTGGAAGTCCAGCAACACAACCATTATGCCATCTGCTGCCCACTCCCCGCCCCCAAACATTCTTAACACAGACCAGAGGGCCAGAGAGATCGTTTTAAAGTGACTCAGAGCATGCCCTCCTCTGCCCGTGAATCACTCAGAGGAGAGTCAAAGTCACTCGAGACTGAGGAACCACCCCCCCTTCACCTCCTGTTTGTCTGTCTTTTCTTTATTTTTGCTGGAGGCTGCATGCACTCACTAGGGAGAGACCAAGAGACAGAGACAGGGACAGGAGCAAGCACCCTCAAGTGGGGTGAAAAGACACAATCCCTTTTCCATCCCCATCCTGTTGGGATTTTGGAGTATGCGTGTGCACTTGTACTTTTGAAGCTGCTAGGTCTGGGATTCGAACCAGAGGCAGCCATCTGGGATCCGGCTCTCTTAACTTCTAGGCTATGGGGCTGCCTTTTCTTTCTGACATCACTCACTGTTCCCCTGGGGCTTTCTTCCCAGTGGCCTCCATGTGTTCCTTGGAAACTCCAGACCTTCCTACAACACTCGGCCCTCGGTCTGGGTGCCTCTTCCCCTGGGGTCTGAGTGCTCACCCCGTACCTCCTCTAGACCATTGTCGTGTGGGTGAATGAACGTTCCGCCTTCTGCGTCTTTGAGAATGGAGAGGCCGGCTCTCTCAATCTCGCCGTCTGTCCCTGCGTATCCCCTCATCTCTCCAAACAGCCCCTCCGCGTCTCAGGCGTGTTTTCCAGTCTGTCTTCTCCCGCAGATTCCATTCTTGGCAAAGCTCACTGTGGCCTTACTGCTGTGACCTTAGATGTTTTTGTTGTCGTTTTCCTTCCACCGAGCCCTCCCTATCTCTGCCTGTCCATGTTTAGCTGCTCTTATTAGAGCTTTTTAATAATGTGCGTTTTGAGAAAAGTTGATGATATTTTTATAAAATGGCTTGTTCAGCTCTTACTCCACACACACTTCATCCCAGGCCTGTGGCCCTCACTATCCCCGAGGAGAACCCCACCGTCAGAGGGGATAGAGCCTTGCTCGGGGCCACAGAGTGTGTGTCCTTCTTCCTCCAAAGCCCGTGTTCTTTGCTCTAACCCACCTGAGTCAACTCGCTCACTCACAAGCGGCAGCACTGACCAGGCGGGAGGCGGACAGTCCACCGAGCAGGGAGCATGCGCGTGTTTGGGCCAGCGTCTGCCGGGACCGTATCAGGAAGTGGGGCCTTGAAGGAAGTGATCTGAACTTCTTTGAATGAGATAGATAAACAGGCGAGAAGTCTCCTGGCTGTTTCCCACCCCTTCGGCGAGCTAAGCCTTACTGCAGTTTTTAAATCACATGCTGGTGTAAAAGTTCAGAGTGGAGTTGGGGCCAGCGGGTGGTGGTTAAGGCGTTGGACTCCGACAGAGCCGACCAGTTTGAGTCTTGGACCTGGCAGCTTAAAAATCACACTGGGGGGAACCAGCAGTTAGCGTAATGGCTATGTCGCTGGACTCCCACGTAGTCGACCGTGGTTCATGTCCCGGACCCGGTGGCTTAAAACTCACGCCGGGCGCGTGTGCGTGCGTGCCCAAGATCCCGAGAGGAGAATGGAGGAGAAGGGATTGCGGTGTGACCATCCCCCCTGGGGGGTGATTTCTCGCTTTCTGTCTCTATGTCTCTCTCTGTCTGTCTGGCAAGCGCACGCGCCCTACAGTGAAAATCTCTCTCAAAAAAAAAAAAAAATCACACTGGGCTCCTGTGTGTGCATGCGGAAAAGCCCAGGGGCAGAGTGGAGGAGAGGGGACTGGGGCGTCTACATTGCGTCAGTATCAACAGGCACTGCCTAGGTCCTAGGAGCTCAGTGGAGAAGCAGAAGAGAGCTTGCATTCTAGTGGGAGAGACTGAGCCGATGTACACAGGAGGGATGAGGAAGCCGTACCTTAGCGTCTTTGAACCACGACGATGCAAGAAATTAGCGAGCTTGGCTCCTCTCTGCCTTTACTAACGCTGAATCGCTCTGAGAACTTCTGATGGTCACGCTCTGTGATACAGCCCTACATGGGAAGGTTCCCAGTTCGTGTCCAGGGGCCACCCTGCGCACCCCAGGTGCCTGCATGCCCGTGATCTGGGGCTGGCTGAAGGCCGGGGTAAATCGCAGTATTAGTCAGTTGTGGGTGCTCACCCTCTCTTTTTCTTTCTCTGTCTGTCTTACTCCCTAATTTTTACAATTAATTTTTAAAAAGAAGAATTTCATCATATTCTTTGGAAACAAAACAACACAAAGTCAACCCCATAGCCTAGTGGTTAAGAGAACTGAATGCCACATGACCAATTGCATTCATTTTTCTACAGGGCACGTGTGCTCACTAGAGAGAGAGAGAGAAGAAAAGTGAGAAATTACCCCCTTGGGGGGGTGGCCATGTTGCAATCCCTTCTCCTCCACTCTTCTTTCAGGATTTTGCATGCATGCACACGTGCCCAGCGTGTTTTGCAAGCCGCAAGGTTCAGCACTCTAATCGCACAGTCTGCCATGTGGGATCCGGCACTTTAACCTCCACACCACCTGCTGGCCCGGCCACCCACATTGCAGATCCCAGCCCCAGTGGCTTGGACAACACAGCAAGTACGTGTGCCCGAACCCCAACAGGATGGGGCAATGAAAAAGGGGTGACCACACGCAGTTGGGGGGTACTTTTCCCCTCCGTCTCTCTCCCTATCTCTCTCTCTCTCTGGTGAGCACACACACCCTGTGGCGATGGGGAAAAAAAAAAAAAAACCTGTTGGGAACTAGATTTTTGTTTTACTGTATTTGTCAAGAGAACTGCGTAGGCATAGCCCACTGATTTTTTCCTACTTTTAGCAAATCAGTTATTAGCTCATATTTCTCTCTCCAAATGTAAAAATGGTTATTGACAGTATCGTCAGATCTCAACAGAGATAAAGCTTTACAAATTATACTTCTTTCTAGTGATAAAAATGTTACAAGAACCAAAAACATCGATTGTTGATCAATGTAATTTCCTTAGAATATCATCTATTCGCGGCCATTATGATTGAGTGAAAAGAGTTTGCCTGCATTTGAGGTATTTAGTATTTGTCTGTTGTTGATATGATTTCAGGATTCCCAGCTGGTAATAGAAGCTTATAAATCCGGATTTGAACCTCCCGGAGACATCGAATTTGAGGATTACGCCCAGCCCATGAAACGCACTGTGTCAGATAACAGCCTTTCAAATTCCAAAGGAGAAGGCAAGCCAGAACTCAAATTCGGGGGCAAATCCAAAGGAAAGCTATGGCCATTCATCAAAAAAAACAAGGTACTGACAGCTGGACCCAGCGCCAATGGTTCTATAAAACCGTGGAAATTTGGACTGTATCTTTATTTACAAAGGTAGACTCTTAAGCGAGTAGTTTCCGAATGCAGAGAAAGCTAGTGTGCTCTGACTGTCAGACAGTATTGCTGTCCGGTGGTGGTGTCTTTGCCATGGCCCTTGGTCTTATCTCCGATGCATCATCACTCGTTCTGTCACCCACACTAACAGATTCCTGACCCCTCGGCCGTCCTGCACGCGCCTTTCATGCCTAAGTCACGTAGACTGCTGGTTGCCTGGGCTGGCAGAGAGGACGCAGTGCCCAAGTTCTGTAACACATTAGCAACGCATCTAATCAAAACTGTAACCACGGGTTAATAGCGTGGGCTTGAGCTCATCAGCATGTGTGCCCATGACCACGTTTCGCTTTCTTTTCATGGTGCGGTGCGTAGGTGCATGACGGCATTAACCTGGGGCTCAGAGTCAGGCCAAGGCGACACGAGCGTGTTACCCGTAGAACGACTCACTGTCTCCTTGTCAACGGCTGTCCCGCTGTTTCACAAGCTTAGCATTTCAGGGCGTTCATTTTCCCCCATCGAGCTATGCTAGTTGAGGTGGTGTAGAAATAGTTTCCCTTCTGGCTTCAACTGGTTCGGAATAACTCACTAGAGCTGCATGAGAGTCTGCACGAGCTGCCTGTTGGATAGTTCTCGCTCTTGTCCCGCCGCTTCACTTACTAACCCTCCGCCTGTCGTCATGGCCTGCATTTGACACGCCCTCCATGTTTTCTTTTGGACCATGGCCTAAATATTTAATTGTTTGTGTTTTACTTGCTTTGGATTTCGAATATGATTTGATGCTTATTTTTGTTTTGTGTCTTATCTTCTTGTTTCTGATTTTTTACTCTGTCACTGCTCCATCTCTTACACGTAGCTTATGTCCCTTTTAACATCCCCCCATCAGCCTCCCCCTCCTCCCCCTGCCTCTGCCTCACCCTCTGCTGTTCCCAACGGCCCCCAGTCTCCCAAGCAGCAAAAGGAACCCCTCTCCCATCGCTTCAACGAGTTCATGACCTCCAAACCCAAAATCCACTGCTTCAGGAGCCTAAAGCGTGGGGTAAGTCCTGCTCCGGAATCCTGTCTCTTGCGCGCTTCTGTGGCATGTGTTGTCCTGCAGAACCTCTTTTGTTTGTGAATGAGTCCATTGTGTTTTCTGGTAACATTAAGGGCAAGAAGAACCTGGGATTCATTATAGCTGGAAAAAAGACAGACCGATGAGGAGGAGAGAGAGGAGGAAGCGGGATGGGTGGAAGGGCGGGAAGGCGAGCAGGTCCTCCCCAGCTTCTGTCTTCAGTGAATTTCAGGAGGCCTTTTCCCCACTTCCCCTTTAAAGCATCAGAATCACTCATTTTTTTAACCTTGATTTTTATCAGAAAAAGAAACTTAGATTCTGTTTCTGAAACTGGGGCCATAGGAGATGAGGAATTGGAAGTGACTATATAGTCAAAAAATATTTGCTTACTAATTACTGAAGCGATGTGAGCATGTGGAGATACTTCTCTGAGCGGCGCCTTGGGGTCCGGTGGGGGGCTGCTGACCCCCAGTCTGCTCACCAGCCGCTTCAGTGAAGGGACACGATGCCCCCGAGCCGCCTGTTGCCTGGAGAGGGCGTACTGCCGCGTTTGTCTCTAAAAGGCGAAATCGTAACCGCGGCTGACCCTTACCGAGGGCTTGCCGTGTGCTGGGCTCCATCCTGGGCGCTCATTTCCTTACTTTCAGCCACCCTAGAAGGCCTAGGTACCCTAATGCTGTCTTGTGTTACTGATGAGCAGATTGGGCCTTAGGAAGACGTTGCGCCGCTGAGCCGCAATTTAAACTCAAGGGTTCTTCCTGTGGAGTGCGAGATCCTGGAACATCCACGTTTAGGGAGAATCTGTTGTCACATGCTGAGTCCTAAGTGGATGAGTGGAGACTCAGGTTGCCGCACTCCTTAAAATCGCATATGCCTGAGGGTCTGATAGAGTCGGGCGCCCTTGAAGCTGGATGCCAGTCTGGTTCACAGAAAATTACGGAAATCAAGTTACCCGTAGCTGCCCAAATCCATCTCAGAGTCAACCTAGTCCAAGCCTCCCCAGATATCTTATTGTGACTGCGGGTGTGCAGCCAGTAAGAGTCAGACATTGATCCCTGCACTACTAACGCTGCAGCACAGCTGCAGAATGCTTTCCGCACACGCCGTTTGCTTTCCCCGCGGGGCTCAGACTCCCAGTAGCCCGTTACTTCTTGCCCTGTGGTGCCTGCCCTCCGTGGTGCCCTAAAGCCAGAGCCCAATGTCGCCTTCAGGCCAATCAGCTGCATTTGCAGGTAAAAGCCAGCCCCATGGTTCTCAACTCAAAATGCCCCAGTTTTGTTTTTTTCTTAAGTGTCAGCTGACACAGGTGGGGAGGAGACTGTAAACCATAGCTAATTAACTGATGAGGGGGTCCTTCTCAGATTTGGAATCTGCAGTTGGTGACCGACAGGAGAATACCAGTAGTCATTGTCAACCAAGCATATTTCCTTCATTCTACAAAAACACTCTGTGGAATGTAAATATGTAATTGACAACTAGGTCGGTATTTGCAAGGATCGGACACAACATGACATTCAGAGTTCCTTTAGTAAGAGAATCTCAAAGTGTTTTTGCAAAGAATACAGTTGGGTGCTCGCTTCGGCAGCACATATACTAAAATTGGAACGATACAGAGAAGATTAGCATGGCCCCTGCGCAAGGATGACACGCAAATTCGTGAAGCGTTCCATATTTTTTTGCAATAAACTTTGGATTTTTCATAAAAAAAAAAAAAAAAGAATACAGTTGGCAAAATTTTCTGGTTTTAAGGCTGCCTGGCATATCAGGCTAAGACTTAGGGATCTGATGTCCTAAAGGTGTCAGGAGCGCCCAAACCATGTCAGGAGGGCCATTGCCAGGAGGCAGGTTTAGCAGGAGAGTGGATGATCGACTGTGTCGAGCTCTATTTTCAGGACTGGCTGAGGAATCTGCAGTTTTCTGGCTCGATTATACAGACTTCCTGAACTCAGTCAGTGTCATCAAAGGACTTCCAATGTATGACCAAGGTGTCTTTGCTAGACTAGAAATTTTTATACTAACTGAAAGTCAGTTAACCCATCTCAGCCACGTCCAAAACCTTTGCCAAGGACTCGTGCATTATATGAACGAGAACTAGTGCCGCATCTGTCTGTCGGACTCCCGTGCTGAGCTGTATTGAATACTGCGACTGTCTGTCATTTGTCTGTGCATCTGTCTATCCCGTTCTTCTCTCCATGTCACACAGTCTGCTGGTTGCAAATGGTTTTTAAATCTGTGTTTCATGGTATTCTCTGAATGTCCAGGAAAAGACAAAAGACTATCAATAATCACTATATATTAAGATGGCTAGAAAAAGATATAATACTTTTGGAGCCATCAGGTGGTGTGGTGGTTAAGGCACTGGACTCCCACATGGCTGACTGTGGTTCAAGCCCCAGACCCAGCAGCTTGAAAATCATCGCTTAAAATGATACCCAGGAGTGCACGCACCTTATGGTAAAAACTTAAAAGAAAAAATGCACACACTCAAACGTGTGTGTGTGAAGTGGGAAATTGGCTATTTCGATGATTTAAAGGAAAAAAATCCCTTTTTAGAGTCATAATCAGCAAAATGAATTTTCTTATTCCTCAAATCTGGGCTGAGCAAACTTCTGTATTTTCTAAACAGTGAGTGTCTGAAACTAGAAGCATTAGGAAGAAATAGAAAAACTTCTGCTTCCCTAACTTTTTGGTCAATCTCTTCGTGTGGTCAGATTTGATGTTCCTTCCTCTAGGACCTAGCAGGCAGCAAGAGCCAAAATGCATGCGCACACACACACACACACGCACACACACACACCGATGAGAAGAAAAAAGAAATCACATCATAGCAGTAAAACCAAGAAGTTAAAAAAGAAAAAAAAAAAAGTGCCATTTGAAGAAATAGGCCCAGCCATAGTAGTGCAGTCTGGGTGGGCAGGCTGCCTGGCAGGCTGGGCCCGCACGGGAGGCCCGGGTTCATTCCAGCCCACCCAGAAAGGCGGGTGCAGCTGTGTGCCTGTAGTCCCCGCTGCCTGAGAGGCTGAGGCAGAAGAGTTGGGGACTCCTGGCCCACGTGGGCGACTAAGCAGCATCGTGTCTGAAAGAGCCAGCTTTATGGTGCATGCCTGTGCTCCCAGCTGCTTGGGAGACTGAGACAGGGAGACCCTGTCCAGAACACCACGTGTGTGCATGCACACACACACACACACACAAACCCCACACACACACCACACACACACACACACCACACACACCACACACATACAAGACCCCCCCATACACATACAAACACACCATTTGGGGAAATAGATTTTTGATTTTAAAGTGATCTCAATGTGGACAGTGCATGCGTTACAGTTCCCTTGACGGAAATGGTTCAGTCCTGGCTACAGCTTCACTTATTCTACTTTTAGCTTTAAGACTATTATGCCAAGGATAACAGTTAGAAAGCTGTCCTGGGGAGTAACAATTCGGTGTTTTGAGTATGTCTTTTAATTTATCACGTTCTGTAGCTCTCAGATTCAGATTTTAATGAGAGCGTGACCAGAGCGTGTAAGTCCTGTGCAAACATTTCTTAGCCTAACTGATTTTGTTTCTAAATAATTAAACAAGATAAAATGTTTGTTTTAAGCTGTTAAGAGTTGTAAGAACATTTTGTTTGACCGAACCTCTTTAAAGATGGCGTGAGGGCATTGACTGTCATTTCACCTCTCCGTGAGTCGTGGAGAAATGGAACCAGATGGTGTGCTCTCAGTGTGCACCCGACATGCCATTTTACTGTCTTCAGTTAAGGTTTCTTTTTCTGCCCAGTGCAAGGAACTTCTCTAGCTAAATTATGGACAAGTCCCCCTCCCCTCGTATTTAAAAGGTAATTGTATGGAAAAATACCACCAAAGTTCTCAGAAGATTTTGACAGGCTTTGCCAGTTGTTCGCCAGATGTTACAGCCGTGTGGTTACTTTCATCCTATTCACTTTACCTTGTTCTCTTGCTGATTGTTGGCAGACTCAGTCTTTCTGTATTCACAAAGAACTCATGAAGAGGACACTAGGGAAACCCACGTATGCCTTTGAGGCTAGGGCCTATGTTGTAAGTTCACCTGCAACAGACAGAGGTCATACAGTCACGGCACAGCCACTAACCCCATTGACAGCACCAAGATTGGGGACCCGGACGCACAGGTTCTCAACTGAGAGAACTAGGCAGCAGGAAAAAAAGTCAATTTGCTAACCGTATTAATGTGTCCATGAGCGACTTGGCCCAGAAAATCTTGCATGAGAAAAGGCACCAGACTTCCTATTACTTCGGGGAGCTGAGCCTCCCCCCAGTTCTCGCCTTTCCATTCCAGTTCTGGTAAAAATCTCTGAAGGCATTGGGACTGCCATCTGAGATGTCACTGCATATGATGTCACGACAGAATTTCGCCCATAAAACAAACTGCAGAGCCTGGGTGCGGAACGGCGCCCTGACGTCACGCACAGCAGTCCCGGGTGCTTGTGCACATCCATGGTGGTAGTGCAAGATCCGTGGGGGCTCCGGGCCACAAAGCTTGGAGGGCAAAATGCAAACAAGGAAGCCTGAGCGACTTCATAGAGCAGTGACACGATTTTGCCAAACGTCGACGCACAGACGCTGTCTCTCACTGTCCCCTCTCTTTGTACGTGAGGTTAGTACCTGTGACTGTCCAATAACACATGGACTGGCTGGCTGTGTTCCCTCATGTGTTATTGACGCTTGTGGCTCCCAAGGCTCTTTAATGTCGCCTGAAACTGACAGCTTTTTAGTTCCTCAGCAGTCTAGCCGTGCACTTACTGAACCCTGTATGATTCTTTTTGCCAATGATTAGCTTTCTAGTTTGAAGTGAGCTAACTGGCTGGCTGACGCCAAACGCCAGTGTGGAATTTGAAAATGAATTCTAGACACTGCGATGATGCCTCTCACGGATTCCCTACCACCGTCCGCTTCCGAAATCGCACTGGGCACTTCCTGTCTCTTTCGGGATGTCTGCTCAATCCCAACGACTCGTGCTGGTTTCGAAGTGGCGATCTTCCTATTCAGGCCATTGATGTTCGAACTCTGTGTTTTGAGAACGAAATGAAAGAATCTGTAATCGCAGGTAACAGAAGCGGCGAGTTGAGAGCACACAGAGGACCTAGTCCGAGCGCTGGCTCTTTGAGTCAGCAGCGTGAGATGCTCATGTGCAAGGGGTGTTTGCACACGGGAACGCTCTGTGGGGGGGTCTGGGAGCGTTTTCTGCTGCGCACCCTCAGTGTTGTCTGTGTGTACGACTGATCCATCGTGGTGGCTGTGTCTGTGCAAAGGTTCACGGGAGGCGGAGAGGTCACGGACTACCCGTGTCAGGACAGTCACCAATGTGACTGCACATCCTTTTTCTTTTCCCCCCAAAACTCTGTCTAGCTTTTTTCTTTCCTTAAAAATCTCCTTATTCCTCAGAGGGAGAATTTCTCTCCAAGGTTATTGCCTACTTACAAAGAAGTGTTACCTCTGAGTTGATCTTAAATCAAGAACTGGAGTTTTAGGGACCAGCAGGTGGCATGGTGGCTAAAGTGCTGGACTCCCACATGGCTGACCACAGTTCGAGTCCCAGACCTGGTGACTTGCTTTCTCACTTTCCCTTTCTCTCTGGTCAAATTGAAAATAGTAACAAAAAAAGTAAATAAATAAATAATTCTTTTATAAAAAAAAAAAGAATTATAGTTTTAAAATCTGGTTAAGGAATACGTGTGTGCATGCAACTTAGACAGCCTCACTGGGTCACAGTCCTGCCTCAGCCTCCTGCTGCTGCGCCTGGCTTCTCGGGGTGGGAGGGTTGGGGAGTGGGCTGTGAATCCAGCCTGGGGCTTCCATGTGACCTCAGCCTGCCAAGCAGCAGCATCCAACATGCGCTTGGCTGGACTAAGTCTGAGGAATTTTAGAAACCTCCCTCTATCCACTCAACATATAATCCAGGGGCCCTTTCCTTGGTATTTTGTCCCACAAATATTTTTGGATCCTCTAGCCAGTGCCTGGACTTCTAGGATCGATGGGTCTGCGCAGATACCGTGCACTGAATTCTCCGAATACCACTCGCTAGCCAGAGAGCGAGTCTCCCGAGTTAGGGGAGAACTGAGTGCCCCATGTCTTACGTGCCTTTGTGCCTTTGGGTGCTGTAGTCACACCTTTCCAGTCTTCATGCACAGCAGGGTGCAGCTGCTGTGGCCTGTGAAGGATTCAGAAAGCCATAGCAAGGTCTCCCCCCGGGAGTCGAGACTGCGGACTTCCCGTTTCCTAACAATAACCGCTCAGCAACTCCTGGTAGTTCTCCCAGTGGTCCGGAGCTCTGTAGAGAGGGCTCGGGGTCAACAGAAGGCCTCATGATACCGGGCCCAGGAGGGAGGGAGCTGGCCCTGCTCTTGCAGCCCAGCGTGGAGAGGCTCCTGGTGCCTGCAGGGGTTCCTCAGAGCACCTTCCTCATCACCCTCACTACTCAGAGTTTGCCTTAATAAGCTTTTAAAAAATGCTCATGTTCATATCTATCAAAGTTCCTTCAGATAAAAATTGTACTTACATGTCATGTAGGTAATTGGGGTTCAGACTTTGTTTGGTCTTTGGAAAACCTTCCACGGAATATTTGGTGAGCAAAAGGTTAACGGTCCTTGTCTTTTGTAGACATCATTGGTCACCAGCAGCAAGCTTACATCCAGGCTGCGTGACCGGTACAGAACCGTAACAGGGCCTCTCCTTCGCTCTGACGCCGTGGCAGCCTAAGACCAGTTTCAGTAGGGCTCAGCCCCTCTCGTGAACCTTGGCACAGGCCCGCCGCGAGCATTTTCACAGACCGCCAGGTGAACTGATGCGTGATGTAACACAGCGGAACCCGCCCAGTTCCTCTGCTCATATGCTGTTGTTTTTTTCTCTCTCTTTTCCCCTGTCACCTCTTCGATTCTTACATGAAGCTTTCTCTCAAGCTGGTAAGCAGAATTCTTCATGCATGTCCTGAGTGCAATCAGGTTGCTGGGTGTGTGTCTGTGCTGCTGCGCTGGGGCACCCTATCCTCGGAGTTAACTGCTGGTCCGTGTCTCCTGCCTGCGCGTGCGCGTGTGCGTGTGTGGCCCCGTGTTTCTCCCCTAGGCTTTGGGATACAAAGGTGGCACCTAATAGAGGCCATTAATCTCTTCAAGTTGCTAAAAAAATTAACCCCGCTCCTCATTCGTTTTCTTCGTCATGGGGCCTTAAGAGGATGACGAGTGTTGATAAATTGTCCCTATACAAGAAACACGAGCAGGAAACCAGCAGTTAGCGTAATGGCTATGTCGCTGGACTCCCACGTAGTCGACCGCGGTTCGTGTCCCGGACCCGGTGGCTTAAAACTCACGCCGGGCGCGTGTGCGTGCGTGCGCAAGATCCCAAGAGGAGAATGGAGGAGAAGGGATTGCGGCGTGACCATCCCCCCTGGGGGGTGATTTCTCGCTTTCTGTCTCTGTCTGTCGGGCGAGCGCACGCGCCCTACAGTGAAAACTCTCTCCACAAAAAAAAAAAAAAAAAAAGAAAGAAATACGAGCATAAGTATTCAACGTGGGAGTGTCCTCACAAAAAAAAAAAAAAAAAAAAAAAGAAATACGAGCATAAGTATTCAACGTGGGAGGGAGACTATGTATTGGATCATTCGGAATAAACTCAAGGGTTGAAAGTGCTCCCCTCTGGGAGTCACAGAACTGGCCCAACGCCAGGCACCTGAGGACTGGCAGAAGCGCCGGCAGCCCATGGGAACCAAAGCCCCCGGCCTCATTCCCAGGCTACACAGATATGCCGCTTGCCTTGTGTGTAGCTAATCCAGGAAGTCGCAAGGTAATTTTGTGGAAGTGAAAAGAGCCTCCTAAGCCTTTTTAGAATGATTTGCTTAGTGCTCTGTGTCATTTCTCCTTCTTCATATAGCCCTAGTAAACAGACTAATCGCTAAGCGTATTAAAAGACACTCTTAACCAACGTAACCCATAACTCTACTTCAACACTGCATAAAAGATACCTATTCTTCTTTTTTTTTTTTTTAATGAGGTTTTTGCTATAGGACGTATGCACTCGCCAGACAGACAGAGAGAGACAGAGAGATAGAAAGCGAGAAATCACCCCCCGGGGGGATGGTCACGCCACAATCCCTTCTCCTCCTCTCTCCTCTCAGGATCTTGGGCACGCACGCACACGCGCCCGGCGTGAGTTTAAGCCACTGGGTCCGGGACTTGAACTGCAGTCGACTAAGTGGGAGTCCAGTGACGTAGCCATTACGCTAACTGCTGGTCACAAAGATACCTATTCTTCTCATATGCCATGGCCGAGAATACCCTAAAGTAAGGGACAGTGAGAAACGGTGACAGTCCAGCCAGGACTGAGACCTGCTCTGTCTGCATTGCCATTGTCATTGGTAACCTAGGGCAGTGTTGTACCTGCTTCCTACACACACATGTCAATGTGCATACGTGTGTACACGGACGCATGTACACACTTCTTATTAACCTGACTCAATATTTCGCAACTGAACCAACCCTAAAGAAAAAGAATACTTTATTGGGCTGGCCTTATAGCCTAGGAATCGAGAGTCAGAGCCCTCGTGGCTGCATGTGGTTCAAATCTCAGCCCCAGGGACTGGGTGTGTGCATGCGCCCTCAGAGTCCGCACAGTGGGAGATGGAAAAGGGATGCTACGGGACCTTCCCATCGGGGATGTCTGTTCTCGCTCTCTTCTTTCTCTGGTGAACGCACATGCCCTCTGTCAATTAAACACCCAAACGAACAAGAGTATTTTACTGTATCAAACAATTCTTAGACTGGCGAATAAAATCCTAAGGAGAGTCTTTGATGAAAGTCTGCAAGAGGAGAAGAGATCCAGATGCTAATGAACTGAGTTCATCAGCCATGCGGATTTGGGGAAACTGGATCAATTGACTCGGACTCTTTCTTGGAGGCCAGAGGGTTTTTCTTTTTTTTTTCCCTTACCCCTTATTCATTCTTTTGCTGTGTGCTAGCAGCAAAAGGCAAGATTTTTGATCTTTCTGTTTAAGAATCAATTCATGTTACCACCTTGGTATTAAATGGCTGCTTTAAACCATTACTTTGAAGCAATGAAGAAGCTTAGCGTTGCACAAAGATCGTTTGTTTTTTTCTTTTTCTTTCCTTTTTTTTTTTTTTTTTAATGACAACAGCCAAAGGCAGTTTTACAGGAGGCTAGTGCTATTTGAGGGGAGTGGCCAGAGCAAGTGCTTCATTCTAAGAACGTCTACTAAGGCCACCTCCCAGAGCCCAGCCACTGAGACGTGCCGAGGACCTGACCCCCTTCACATCCGCGTGGGCTGGCCAATCTCTTGTAAACTGGCTGCTCCAAAGAGCTTAGAATAGTTTTTGACTCTAAGCTAGAAATCAAAATTCTTCTGTGGCAAAATGAATCATAGGTCAGAGTATTGTTTCAGAGCACGCTTCAAAAGGCTAACCTGGCGAAAGGACCATTTAAGTAAGTCCTTCCAGAAACCTCGTGTCACTTTGGAGCTAGGAGAAGCTGCTGGCCTGAATCTCTGGTGGCAAAGTGCAGTTTGTTTGAGGTATTGTTACTGGGCCTCATTCCGAAATAACCACACAGAAGCAGAGGCCACCTACTAAAGGGACCCACCTTGTCAAGTAGACTAACTCCTGATCAGTCCCAGATCATTCACTATTTATTACTTCATGGTTTTAGTTTTGTGAGTAACTGGCGTTATGTGCTTGCTGTTTACGAGATCTATTTAACCCCTCGGTTTCTTCGCAGCTGTTTATGCCCTGTCCACAGCCTGCAGCCACACTGTCCAAACTGGTGGCTGTATCAATTCTTACTAAAATTAAATTGTGTTTTTCTTTTTAGGTTTTTGCCATGGTGTGTGCACTTGCTGTAGAGAGACAGAGAGAAGGAAAGTGAGACATCTCACACAAGCACACACACACACACACACACACACACAGGGGGATGGCCACACCACAATCCCTTCTCTTCCAGTCTCTTCTAGGGGTTTTGGGCACACCCATGCATCCAGCACGATTTTCAAGCCTCTGGGGTGCAGCACTCGAATGGTGGTCGACCATGTAGGGGTCTAGCGCCTTCACCACCACACACCACTGGCTGGTCCCCCAGTTTTCTCCTTAATTTAATTTTAAACCCACGGTTCAAGTGTTCGGCAACCACACGTGGCCACATGACAGGGCAGCTCCGGAACATTCCCATCACTGTGGAAAGTTCTGTCGGACTCAGCACAGACGCTCAGCCGATCTTAATGGAATTAACACTGACCTCCTACTACGATCCTGACTTCGGAGGCAGTGCGTCTACACCGCGTTTTGTGGCTGTGCAGCTTTTAAAAACCTCGATTCTCCACAGTGTGTTCGTCTGTCTTAAGTAAATGCAGCATGAGCACAAAGTATTTTCTTTCAAGCCAATGAATGAGCTGAACAAATTGAAAAGCAAATAATAATGAGGTTTCAAATATCATAACACCAGAGGGAAGGGAAAGAACGTTTCACATGTGTTTATGTAAAAGATTACTTTTGCTTCCTCTTAGTTTTAGAATCAAATCAAACTCCCTCGTTTTGGCGTTAGAAATGGGCCCTCGTTTCTGGTTTCACTCAGGTCTTACCCGTCCCGGTCAGACACGCACCAGGGGGTAAGAGATCAGTTGCGTGTGAGTTTTGAAGATATAAGCCAAAAAGTCTTTGTGGGGCCTTTGTGGTGAACTATTTGCTGAATCACACCCTTCCCCGGGGGCAGCCTGGCATTTCATCGTAATCAGCCTAGGAACTTGCAGTCACAAGCCCCCGCGTAAGCTGCTTGAATTGTTCAACCTGATTCCGCGATCATATTATTGCGTCCCTTCTTTCCAGCCACCTGCAAGCCCGTCTTGCCCTCGTTTCAAAAGAATTGAGGTTTTAAAGTAAAATCCCTTTCCAATTCCCTGCCTGATCCCTGGGTGCTTGAACGCATTCCTGTCTCTTTATGGAAACAGCCTCATTTAAGTAAAAGCACTTGCTGCTTTGCACAAGCTAGTCACGGCTTTCCACTGCCAGGCCTCTGCCAAGGCCAGGCCACGCCCGGGCAGCACCAGGCACGAAGGATGGCTAGGCTAGCGAAGGCTGCTTCCGGCACCTTAGAGACTGAGGCTGTCTTACACCTGCTTGGAGGCGACTTTGAAGCCAGGAGGGCCTTCTGTCTGAATTCTCAGAGACTGCCCTAAGGGTCCCAGGGAGACATTCTGGGCTCTGGAGACAGTGGAGAGAAGTCTGCAGGGCGGGCAGAGGAGCGAACGAACTGTATTTTTAAATACCCTTTTCACCTCCTATCTCTAAGGACATGGTGTCCCATCTGTCACTTTCTAGGGATGGAAACTTTTGGCCTCAACCCTGCATGAAGAGACAGGAAGGAATACTCAGACCAGGGCAAAGAAACGGAGGGCAGAGACTTGCCACTGTTTTATGCTAAGGAAACGTAAACGCCCTTGGAACGTTGGTGTTCCCACAGCACTGATGGTGACACTTCGTAGGAAAGTGAGGAGTCTGTCACCAGATTTGTTTTCCATGAACGTCACTGGGGTCGGAAGCATTTCTTCCTCTCTCATCTCCCTGGAGCTCTGTGCCCTAACTCCCCAGAGGGGTCTCGGCAGCGTGAATGGGATCTGCAGTGGGTCGTGGAACCGGGCGTTGGGGTGTTCGCATGTACTGATCCTTGCGTCTCGGCGGGGTGTCTGGGGAAGAGCCTCACTTGGTGCAACCCTAGGCAGACAGCTGGGGGTGCGGCTTTGCTGGGGCCTGTACTCCAGGAGGGCTCGGGGGCTTTCTGGTTCTCATTTTCATTTGCATCTGCAGGGCGCCACGCCAGAGGATTTTAGCAACCTCCCTCCTGAACAAAGAAGGAAGAAGCTGCAGCAGAAGGTTGATGAGCTAAATAAAGAAATGCAAAAGGAGATGGATCAAAGGTAGAGGGGATCGACATGACTTATTAAGAAGTTCAGGTTCCGATGGGAGAGATGGGAGATCTTAAAATAGATTTCAAAGAGACTGTTTTAGCAGTGTGTTCTATCATAGTCTATTGGATTGCTTTACTATGCTCTGTGAGATTGCCTTTTATTCTGAGTTTTGGGAGAAAAATACAAATGGCTATCTCCTTTATCACAGGTGAAGGCTTCTTGGGAAAAACGAGGAGCCGCGCAATTGCATGATCCCGTATTCTCCCTCGCCCATGTCTGAGCTTCCGGTCTAAAATCTGCTGTCTTTCCCTCTTATTTGAGGACGTAAACGTCAGTTTTCCTATAGGTTCTCAAGCCTTCTCTCCCCCCCCACCTCAAAGTTTTCTTTCCTAGGGTGTATGCACTTTCAGGAAAGAGACAGAGAGGGAAGGTGAGAAGTCACCCCTGGGAGAACGGCCAGGCCTCAGTCCCTTCTCCTCCGTTCTTCTCTCAGGATCTCGGGTTTGCGCGTCCCCGCGCCCAGAGCTGTTCTCAGGCTGCTAGGCCCAGGACTAGACTGGAACTGCACAGTCGGCTCTGTGGGATCCAGCGCCTTAACTTCCATGTCACCCACTGGCCGTGCCTTTTTTTAATAGAGTGTATTTATGGTGTCTAGGAAACAGATGACAGTATGATTTATCAGACGCAGTTGAAGGAGCCAGTGCTTCTTCCTGAGAAGGTGGCACCAGCTCCCACTGCAGGCGTTCTGAGCGGGTCTGTAAATTTGATCTTAAGGACGGTAGGTCAGTACACACAGCAGGAAAGAAGACCCACTCTGTGTTCTCACTTGAGCCTCCCCTCCTTTCTACGTTTATAACCTACCAGACACCTACGTCATGTAGGCGTGTTAGCCGGACCCTAATGGAAGCCCTGTAGGGTGTTAGCCAGGACCCTAATGGAAGCCCTGTAGGCGTGTTAGCCAGGACCCAAAGGGAAGCCCTGTAGGGTGTTAGCCAGGACCCTAATGGAAGCCCTGTAGGGTGTTAGCCGAACCCTAATGGAAGCCCTGTAGTGTGTTAGCCAGGACCCTAATGGAAGCCCTGTAGGGTATTAGCCAGGACCCTAATGGAAACTCTGTAGGGGTGTTTGCCAGGATTCCAGTAGACAAAGCACTGTGTTGTCTCCCCCCAATAAGCTCTTACCAAGGAACTAAGTGAGTCATCAATTTATTTGGGATTTGAACTTCAAAGGTAACTTGAAATCGTGTGCCTTATAAATGGACCAAATGGTGATCTTATTTAAGTTACAGTGAAGCTGAATTACTATTTGATTAGGCTTAAAGCAGATAAGTAGGAGCCAGCAGATGGTGAAGTGGTTAAGACACTGGACGCCACATGGCTGACCACACTTCAAGTCCTGGACCCTGTGGCTTAAAACTCATACCAGGCGTGTGTGTGTGCATGCCCAAAATCCCAGGAGGAGATTGGAGGAGAAGGGATTGCGGTGCGGCCATTCTCCCTGAGAAGTGATTTCTCACTTTCCCTTTCACTGTCTTTCTCTCTGCCTCTGGCGAGGACATGCACCTATGGCAAAAATCTAAAACAAAAAAACAAAATTGATCAGTCAGCACAGTGTGAGGACATGTACAGGAAAAGTGTTTTCTTAACCTTTTACTGCTGGTCCAGCGACTCCTGAGAAATAGGTCATTTTATCAACATTGCTACAGTGCTAAAAATAGAGCACATATCATTAACGTTCTTCTAGTTTCGTAGTAGGAATACACTGCATGAAATGGAAGTTTTGCTTTGTACTCCCCATTACCTGCGGACCAAATCTAAAAAGGATTCATGTATTATTAACTCGTGCTGAGAAGTGGTTACATTTTCTACAGGAATAGGAAGTTAGGACTCAGGTATCTGGGCTGACATTTCAGAGGCGGTTGATAGACTGAGACAGAGCTGCCTTTTCTCTCATGGTCTGACATTGCGTAGACGTCTCCACTACCACACTGGACTGCAGCTGAGACCTGGTTAACCTCTCAGCCTCCATGGCAACCCTTGCTGGTAACGAGGCGGACCGTATTCAACCCATGCACTGAGCGATCGATCACTGAGCGCGTACTGTGTGGGAAATAGCCCAGGCACTGAGGAGAAGCAACAAGCAAAACGTTACACAAACCCCTGGTCCCGGGCGACGCCTGCTTAGTGCAGGGAAAACAGAAACTAAAGCAAGACTGAGCAGAAAAGTGACCACTCAACAATCAAAACTGGCAAGAAAGGAGAGAGAAATATACAGAATAGGCCAGGCAAATCAAAAGCATAAAATAGAATTATAGATTTTAAATGCCAAGCTCCCGACCCGCAGTGGTGTGGGGGTAAAGGTGGTTGGATCCCACATGGCTGCTCAGAGTTTGAGTCTGGAGCCTGGCAGTTTAAAAAACAGGCCAGGTGTGTGTGCCTGCGTGCCCAAAATCTCAAAAACAAGGAGGATTGGAAGAGGAGGGATTGGGGCATGACCGTGCCCTTTTGCGGATGCTTTCTTCCTCCCTCTGTTTATCTTTGATGAATGCACACACCCTCTGGCAATTAAAAAAAAATTGAATGTAAAAGAATGGAAGACAGGGGCCAACAGGTGGCATGGTGGTTAAGGCACTGGATCCCACATGGCCAACTACATGGTTTGAGTCCTGGACCTGGCAGTTTTAAAAACACACCAGGTATGGGGTTTGCGTGTACCCAAAATCCCAAGTGAAGAATAAAGAAGGGATTGTGGTGTAGCCATTCTCCCTGACGGGTGATTTCTCACGTTCCCTCTCTGTCTCTGGCAAGCACATGCCCTATGCAAAAATCTTTAAAAAAAGAAAAAATGGAAGACAAGATTGACCATGCAAATGTCAAACAAAAGAAAGCAGGTGTAGCAAGACTAACTTTCAGGCCAAAAAGGAAAAAAAACAACACCTATTCAAGAGAAAGAGGATCGACTTCATAATAATAAACGCCGTTGAACACTGGGAACAGCGAAAGCACCTCGAGGCCGGCCGCAGCAGGGGAGCTCCTTGGTCCTGAATCGCCCCAAGCAGACCTGCGAGCCTTTGCTCGGTGCCAGGGGCTGCTTCTACAAGCACGTTGAGGAAGGGTGTAGAATCTGGAGAGAGGTAGCCTCAAGGCCCTGTTGCCAGCCCACCGCGGATGCCCACTGGATTCTGCTGGCTCACAGCCGGAGTGCGTGTAACGACGTCCCACGGCAGTTCCTGCTGCGCATGGCCGGCACACTGCAGCCGCAAGGCCCGTGCTGCCAGGTGCAGCTCCGATTTGCATGGGGACGGCACTCCTCATGGAAAGGCTCGGGTTCTGTTAGTTTTTATGGTTGGGCCCAAGGGTGGGCAGGATTGACAGATGTTTCTGGTGTGCTGAAGACGATAGGAAGATACCATTGAGAATAGACAACTGCAGTTTAGGCCTCAGCCCACCGGCTACCTGGACCGTGGTCACAGACGTCTGCGAGAGAACTTTCAGGCTAAAAGCTGGCCCCGGAGGCCCTCAAATCCACCCTCAGATGTAATCTGCCCTCTTCCCATTCCAGGTGGCCAGCAATGGTGACTTTTTTTGTTTTTTTGTTTTTTTTAAGAGGTTTTTACCTTAAGGCATGTGCATTCCCCAGAGAGAGAAACACACAGTGAGAGGGAAATTGAGAAATCACCCCACACACAGAATGGCCACACCGCAATCCCTTCCCCTCCATTCTCCTCCTGGGATCTTGGGCATGCACGCACATATGCCCTTTATGAGTTCCAAGCCACTGAGTCTGGGAGTCGAACCATGGTCAGCCATGTGAGAGTTTAGCAACGTAATTGCTACACCATCTACTGGCCCTGCAACAGCGATTTTTCCTTGTTATGCTCATTTTTTTTTAGAGAATTTTTGTTATAGGGCATGTGTGCTCATTGGAGAGACAGATACAGAGAGACAGAAGGTGAGAAATCACACCCCAGAGAGGATGGCCATGCTGCAGTCCCTTCTCCTCCATTCTCCTCTCGGGATTTTGGGCACACACGTACATGTGCCCAGTGTGAGTTTTAAGCTACCAGGTCCAGGACTTGAACCGCAGTCGACTTCGTGGGAGTCTAGCGACGTAGCCATCATGCCATCTGCTGGTCCAGTGCTCACTCTTTATTCTTTTTTTTTTTTTTCAGAGATGCCATAACAAAAATGAAAGATGTCTACCTAAAGAATCCTCAGATGGGAGACCCAGCCAGTTTGGATCACAAACTAACAGAAGTCAGCCAAAATATAGAAAAGCTGCGACTGGAGGCCCAGAAGTTTGAGGTATGAGAAAGCTGCCGTTGCTTTGTTAGAAGCAGAGGCGCAGTGAGTCGGTGTCCTCGGCACCTGCTCCCTGGCTCCACGGCAGTTCTGTCACTGGGAGAGCGGGCCAGCTGTCAGGGTGTGTCACAGTTACGATAATCGTCTCAGCCTTGGAATGCTCTGCTTCTCTGCGTCTCCCCTTTTAATGGTGTGTCTTAAAACTGGAGTGTTTAAAGGTGCATTTGTAGATGAAGGGACTTCATCTTTATGGAAAGGTCAGGTGGTGACACAGCAGTAAAGCGTCACTCTCTGCAAGGCATTGCCACATGGGAAGGTTCCCCGTTCAAGGCGGTGACGCCCCTGAGTACAGGTACTCCTCACCTAACGACCACGCTCTGCTCCTGCGACTCAGCCGGCAAGTGAGGCACTCAGAGGCGACGTCTCCTGGTGTGTCGTGGCGCCGGGGCAAGTGTGTTCAATGGGTGTCGCCGACACCCCACGAGACTGCTCTGGTTCTAGCCATGCTAAAAGCGTACATTGGAGAAGTACTAGAGAGTGACATGACACCCACGTCAACATAAACCCGGAGTTGTTTGCTCCGCTTGCGGACACTGCCCGTGGGCACGCTGAGCGATGAGGCCCTAGTCCTGTCTGATGGCGGACGCCTCGTGTAGTGAACAGCACCCAGCTGAGGATGAGAGGAGGCTGGGGACGAGGGTGCCTGAGACGCACACAGGCTGGCAGGTGGCGTGGAGGCTAAGATGCTGGATCCCACGGACCAACTGCATGGCTCACGCCTCAGACCCAGCGTCTCGAGAGTCACGCCGGGCACATGTGCGTGCATGCCCAAAACCCCAAGGGAAGGATGGACAAGAGGGACTGATGTGGCCATCCCCACTCGGGTCATTTCTCACTTTCTCCATCTCTCTCTCCCTCTGGCAAGTTCATGCATCCTATATCAAAAACTAAAACAGACAAACACACACAGAAACCCTTGAGACTCACACACAGAAGGGGTTCCCCATGCTGGAGAACTGGTCATGATTCTGAGCAGCTGTTAAACAGGCTGGTCATTAGGGAGGACTGACCACCCGGGCCCAGGTACACCGTGACCTGGGGCTGGTCAGTGAGGGGCAACAACCCAGGCACGGACATGCCATGACCTGGGGCTGCTCAGTAAGCGAGGGGCGACCACCCGGGCACAGGTACACCGTGACCTGGGGCTGGTCAGTAAGCAAGGGGCGACCACCCGGGCACAGGCATGCTGTGACCTGGGGCTGCTGAGGCTGGGGGTATATTGTGGCATTAAAACCTTATGGGGATACCCTCTCTCTCTCTCTGTCTCTCATTCTCTCTCTCTCTTTCTCTGTCTTTCTCGCTTAGAATACATAAACTTTGTTTAAAAGTTCATGGATAGATGCGGAGCCGGCAGGTGGCATGGTGATTAAGGCTCTGGACTCCCATAAGGCTGACTGTAGTTCGAGTCTCAGACCTGGAGGCTTGCTTTTGCACTTTCCCTCCTCTCTCTCTCTCTCTCTCTGGCTCTGCCTGTCTCTGGTCAACTTTTAAAAAACAGATAGTAATAATAAATAAAATTAAATACTTCTTTTTTTAAAAAAGTTCATGGAAGCCAGCCAGTGGCATGGTGGTTGGGGTGACTGGATCCTGCAGGGGTCGACTGCAGCTTGAAAGACACGCCATTCTTCACAAGAATGGGGAGGAAGGCATTGGTGTAGCCATCCTACATCCGACCTAGACATGCCATTCTTCACGAGAATGAGGAGACGGGATAGTGGTGTGGACATCCTACATCCGACTTAGACACGCCATTCTTCACGAGAATGGGGAGGAGGGCCATGGTGTGGCCATCCTACATCCGACTTAGACACACCATTCTTCATGAGAATGGGGAGGAGGGCCGTGGTGTGGCCATCCTACATCCGACCTAGACATGCCATTCTTTACGAGAATAGGGGAGAAGGGATAGTGGTGTGGCCATCCTACATCTGACTTAGACACACCATTCTTCATGAGAATGGGGAGGAGGGCCATGGTGTGGCCATCCTAAATCCGACCTAGGAGTGCTTCCTCACTTCCCTTGCTCTCTCTTTGTGGTGAGCACATGAGTCTTATAGGAAAATTTAAACAAATTTTTAAAAATTAAAAAATAAAAAGTTCATGCTAAATGGAATTAAAGTATGAGTTTCTTTTGGTGCAAAAATGTTTGAAATCAGGAACCAGCAGTTAGCGTAATGGCTATGTCGCTGGATTCCCACGTAGTCAACCGCGGTTCACGTCCCGGGCGCGTGTGCGTGCGTGCCCAAGATCCCGGGAGGAGAATGGAGGAGAAGGGATTGCAGCATGACCATCCCCCCTGGGGGGTGATTTCTCGCTTTCTGTCTCTATGTCTCTCTCTGTCTGGCGAGCGCACGCGCCCTATAGCAGGAAAAAAAAAAAAAGTTTGAAATCCATAGTTTTTCTTTTTTTTTTTTTTTAAGGTTTTTGTTCTAGGTGCATGTTGATTTTTTGAGGTGATAGGGATCTCCAGGGGGATGGCCATGCTGCAGTTCTTTCTCTTCCATTCTCTTCTCGGGATTTTGAATATGCACACACACATGCCCAGGGTGAATTTCAAGCCACCAGGGCTGGTACTCAAACCGAAGTCAGCCACATGCAAGTCCAGCCCCTTAACCACCACACCACCTGTCGGCCCCACTATAAATAGCTTTTGTTTTAGAGAGATTTTTGTTATAGGATGTGTGCACTCGCCAGAGAGACAGAGACAGAGAGACAGAAAGTGAGGAATGGGGTTCCAGCATTTTACCCTCCACGCCACCTGCTGGCCTTCTCCTACTGTTGGTTAGTTTAAGTGTGTCACTTAAGTTTGTCCGCATCATCTCAAAAGATCGACTGCAATGTGTCCTCATCCTCTAAGTGGACCCACTGTGGGAAGGCGAGTCAGGTGGGAACGGCAGGAAGTCCGGGAGGAGTGAGTAGGAGACACAGGTAGTAACTATGGGAGGAGAAGGGGCACTCACCAGCTAGGGACAAAGGCTCCCTTCCACCCTACATTTAAAGATTATAAAGCACTGGGATCAGCAGATGGCATTAACAGTTACGTAGTCAATCATGGTTCAAGTCCTGGACCCGGGCTCGGTGGCTTAAAACAGACGCATGTGCACGCATGCCCAAGATCTGGAGGAGAAGGGGTTGCAGCGTGGCATGGCCATCCCCCGGGGGTGATTTCCTGTGTTCTGTCTCTCTGTTCTCTCTGATGGTGCAGTGCACTATAGCAAAAATCTCTCTAAGAAAAAAAAAGACTATTATAAAGCATGGAAAATAAATTAGTGATGGATTATTTCAGTTAGAACTGGTCATTTCTGTTCATAAGGAGTCAAATATAGCTTTTCTCATTATTTTTAGACTTCATCAATAAATTGTTAATGTTCAGTTGAACTTTTAGAACTAGAAATGTCTTTTGCTGGTCATTTTTATTCCTTCGCCTTCTTTATACCGCTTCAAATGTTGGTGAAGATCATTTTAGCCACTTGGATTTTTTTTTTTAGAGATTTTTGCAATAGGATGTGTGCACTCCCAGAGAGACAGACAGAAAGTGAGAACTCATCCCCCAGGAGGGATGGCCACTCCTCAACCCCTTCTCCTCCATTCTCCCCTTGAGACTTGGGGCACACACATGCACCTGGCATGAGTTTCACGTTGCCAGGTCCAGGATTCGAACCACAGTCAGCCATGTGGGAGTCTAGCGACGGAGGCATTACACCATCTGTTCGTCTCACCACTTGGATTTCTGCGTACACGTCCCATCTTAAAGACACAGTTACGCCCCTGAAATAGAAAGGGTGCTTTCAGACGGAGTCCATGCTTAGGGACACCAGTACCCTCGGTCTCCCATAGTGGTCGCAGAAGGTTTGGAACGGGAGGAACCAGGAGTGGCGTAGCCAAGCTTGTGCCTCTGCGCAGAGCCCAAGGGCGGCACATACAGGCCTGTGCTGGAGGAGCTAGCAAATAGGAGGTGTCGGGTGACAGCGGTTGCCTTGAGCACATTCCTGCAGTTGAATGCAGATGAAGCCGATACCCTGCCCACATGGACCTTCTCACAGAGGTTTAAGTGTCCACTGAGCAGCCCCTTGGCCCGGGCCCTCCGGTGAGCACAGGTCGGAGCCCCGCATCCTTTCCTTTGCAGGCCTGGCTGGCCGAGGTCGAAGGCAGGCTGCCGGCCCGGAGCGAGCAGGCCCGCCGGCAGAGTGCGATGTACGACAGCCAGAACCCGCCCGCGGTGAACAGCTGCGCCCAGGACCGGGAGAGGTACAGTTCAGCACAGGCCTGCTCTGGGCAGGCGCAGGCCTGCTCCGTGTGCTTTTCCAAATCCTGGGGTCTGGGACGAGCACGCACACCTGCTGGAAACCTGCTGGTCTGTCACGGTCGCCCTGGGATTGTCCCCAAGGTGCAGGTGTTTAACTCCATGTGGGTGGTGATCCGAGCAGGCAGGATGGCTGGGATGTCATTCCAGCACCGCTGGCGACCAGAGGGCAGACCTGTGTCGCCGGGGTTGGTCGCTATAGTTGCCGTGTGTTTTCCTTTCTTGAGCAGCCCGGATGGCAGTTACACAGAGGAGCAGAGTCAGGAGAGTGAGGTGAAGGTGCTGGCCACGGACTTCGATGATGAGTTTGACGACGAGGAGCCGCTCCCCGCCATAGGGACTTGCAAAGCCCTCTACACGTTCGAAGGTAACGCTTCGAGTCCGCCTCACTCCTCGACCTTTTACAAATCCAAGTCTCTCAGTTCCTTCTTTGTTTGTTTTTGAAAATTATTTATTCAGTTTTATTGATCATTATTATTACTTACTATAGGACATGTGTACTCACCAGAGAGAGAGGAGAAAGTGAGAAAGCAAGCCGCCAGGTCTGGGAATCGAACTACAGTTGGCCATATGGGAGTCCAGCGCCTTAAGCACGTCACCTGCTGGCCCTCACTCAGTTCTTCCTGTGATTAGAAGTTTCTGGAGATGCCTCCCAGATCTTCCTCTTATTCTTTTATATTTATTTTATTTTATTTTTATTTTATTTTTTTGGAGAGATTTTCGCTATAGGGCGTGTGCGCTCGCCAGACAGACAGAGAGAGACATAGAGACAGAAAGCGAGAAATCACCCCCCAGGGGGGATGGTCACGCCGCAATCCCTTCTCCTCCATTCTCCTCTCGGGATCTTGGGCACGCACGCACACGCGCCCGGCGTGAGTTTTAAGCCACCGGGTCCGGGACACAAACCGCGGTCGACTACGTGGGAGTCCAGCGACATAGCCATTACGCTAACTGCTGGTTCCCTTCCTCTTATTCTTTACCCGACTCTTGGTGTAGCATTAGCACAGGCTGAGTGTCCCTTATCCAGAACACTGGACCAAGAATTGGGCTTCAGATTTGGGGTTTCATTTAAGAGCTTTTTTGCCTTGGAGACAGAGGCAATGAGAGAGAAAGTGAGAGATCACCCCTGGGAAGGGAAAGCAAGTGACTTAGAGATGGTCCTCAGAGAGACAGATGTGCGGACCGGGCGTGTCTGTGGGGAAGGCGCAGTTCCGAGGCAGTGGGGCGGGCTGCGGCGTGCGGAGGTGGAGGGCACGGCGGCCGGGCCTCTGGGCTAGCCCCCTTCCCTGTGCGCTCTGCCCGGGTGTGACCTGAAATACCCCGTGCGGCTCTTCCAGGTCAGAATGAAGGCACCATCTCTGTGGCTGAAGGAGAGACGCTATACGTCATCGAGGAGGACAAGGGCGACGGGTGGACGCGCATCCGGAGGAGCGAGGACGAGGAGGGCTACGTCCCCACTTCCTACGTCGAAGTCTATTTGGACAAAAATGCCAAAGGTGCTAAGACTTATATTTAATACCACTTAGAAACGTAAAAAAAAAAAAAAAATGGAGTTGTCTCTCCCCACAACTGTGACTGTCACAGGCACTTCTTCAAAAGATTGGACGGAGAGCCCGCGCGCGTGTTGGGAGTGCGCGGACCGCAGACGGCGCCCCTGGCTGGCCTTCGCTAGTTTTGAACATAATCCAGTTTCCCTTGCAGAGGAAATTGTGTGTGGAAAGCCGCCACCTGCCAGTTTACAGCTGTGTCACTCGGAATCTGATAAGCGTTCCTTCTTTTGGCAGTATATGTAGATGAAAAAAAAGGCACTCTAACTTCTAATCAATATTTCTGATTTTTACAAGTCCACACGCGTTACCAGGGACAGACGGCTTCTTTGTTTATATCTTGTATCCGCAGAAATTGAGCTGTTAGGCTGTTACATCTCATCACTAAATAAATCGAACTACACTAGTTTCTTAAAGTTTATAATCATTCACTTGAGAGGAAGTCATAAATAAAATTAAATCTCGCCCCTCTTGAGCAAGGAAGTCAGTAAGATCCTAGTGTGGGTGTATTTTTGCTTAAACTTGGTTAAAACCCTCTCAGGTCTCTGTGAGCTCAAACAGCCCATTGAAACCTGGAGAAACACGGTCAATTAACCAGCTGTTTTACTGACCTGCCAAGCCACGCCAAATTAGCAATTAATTGGATGGACTCGTGCTGTTTCGATAAGCGTGTGGAGAAGGGGCGTGACCTGTGATTGTCATTCTCTCACTGGGTTCTGGCTTTGTGTCTTCAGCTCACACCTGCCAGCTGCGACCATAAGTAGGACTGGCTCTACCACAGATGCAGACCCTGACACATTCCTTTTGTTTTGGTTTTTGTTTTTGAGTTGTTTGTTTGTTTGTTTTTGCTATAGGGCACTTGTGCTCGCTAGAGAGAGAGAGAGAGAGAGAGAGACGGAGAGAGAGAAATCACCCCCCAGGGGAGATGGCCATGATGCAATCCTTTCTCCTTCATTCTCGCAGGATTTGGGGCATGCATGCACATGCATCCGGCGTGAGTTTTAAGCCGCTGGATCTGGGACTCCAACTGCCGTCAACTACATGGGAGTCCAGTGATGTAACCATTACGCCATCTGCTGGTCCCAATATCTTACTATTTTGGGACCCCGAGGCTTTTTGTTTTTTTTTTTTTTTTTTTTTTTTTTTTTTTTGTCAATCTGCATTTTTAATTGCCACTGACTTGGGAGCAAAGCTGGTCAGAGGAGGGAAGTTTGGCGACACAGTTGCCAAGCCTGGTGTTTAACGGTGCCCATTGTGAGTCTACCCAGAGATAACAGAGGACCTTTGCTGTTAGTGGGCCAGAAAAAAGGCACTGGCTTAGCATTCCCTTGTATTTGACTTTGCACATTCTTACGTACGGCCTCTCTCCTTTTAAGTAGGAACTGTCCTGGTCTCTCGTTTTGTACCGCAAGTCAGTTTCAAGCTGATTGACAAGCAGCAGCCAGCTACCCAGACCCCAGCCTGGCAGGAGCTGCGGGGGCTTGTTGCAGCGCCTCCCGAGATGTTTCCCGAGGGCTACGGAATGGAATCTTCGCTTACCGCAGTAACCTTTGCTTAATAGCAGCCTGATTTGAGCTTTTTGCTGTGAGGCACGTGCTCACCTGAGAGAGAGAGTGGGAAAGTGAGAAATCACTCCCGGGGGGATGGCCACACCACAGTCCGTCCTCCTCCATCCTCAGGATCGCAGCAGGCAAGCACGTGCACCCAGCATGTTTTCCAAGCTGCCCTGTCTGGGATTTTTTTTTTTTAAGATTTTTTTGTCATGGGACCAGCAGTTAGCGTAATGGCTATGTCACTGGATTCCCATGTAGTCGACCACAGTTCGAGTTCCAGACCCGGTGGCTTAAACTCATGCCGGGCGCGTGTGCGTGCGTGCCCAAGATCCCGAGAGGAGAATGGAGGAGAAGGGATTGCGGCGTGACCATCCCCCCTGGGGGGTGATTTCTCGCTTTCTGTCTCTCTGTCTCTGTCTGTCTGGTGAGCGCACGCGCCCTATAGCAAAAGCCTCTCAAAAAAAAAAAAAAAAAAGATTTTTTTTGCCATAAGGCACTCACCAGAGAGAAACAGAAACAGAGAGAGGGAAAGTGAGAACTCACCCTCCTGGGGGAGGGATGGCCAGAATTTCGGGCATACACACATGCACCAGAAGTGATTTTCAAACATAATTTAAACCATGGCCGACCACGTGGGAGTCCAGCGCCAAATGTTGGCTCCCACCTGGGACTCTTAACTGTAGTTGACCAGGTGGGATCCAGCACTTTAACTACCACACCACCTGCTGGCCCCGACAGCTTGATTTAAAACAAAACAAATCTTTATTGTGAAATAATGACAGACTCAGGAAGTTGCTATGTCCAGAGACCCCAGTGCCCTTCACCCAGCCTCCCCCAGTGGCTCCATCTGCAGTTGTAGCAGGGCCCCAAACCACGAAGCAACCTGGGGTTGCCTGATTTTTTTAATGCATGCTTCCTTTGTGATGCAAATCTCTTCTGATACCTGCACTGACTCGGTGTGGAGAAAGCCACCCCAGGCCTCTTTGGGGGAACCGTTTCTGTTCTCCTTTGCCCAAGTATTGCCCGCTGACCCCTAAACCACAGGGACTGGTTTTAATGAGCGGTAGGCGGTTGCCTGCTTTGCAGGCACGGAACCAAATGGATGAGAGGCCTGTTTGTGCGCTCTAACCTTTCTATCAGGCAGCACACTCACTTTCAGACGATGAACTATCTGGGAAAGCAAACTGAACACAGAAAGCCCAAGACGGGGCAAGACGGCATTAGCCTTTTAAAAGCCTCGTCTGGAAAACCTTGCATTCCGTTGTTTTTTTGTTTTAGAGTCATGCAAAGTTGATTCAGCTGGTTGGCAGGACCAAGTGGGGGTGTGGGGTTTGGTGTGTAGGTTTATGGTCAACATTTAAACTTGGGGTGGTTCATCTGAATGCCCCCAGGAGCTGTAACAGATGCACCCATGCAATGTTAATATTGACTGAACAGTGAGAAATCGGGGGATTCCAGTCCCACCTGCTCAGTGCCTGAAGTTTCAGAAGAAGGTGGAACGATTCAGAATCGGGAGTTTCCGTCTCTACCCGAAGTGTTCTTTGTTTCTCCATCAGTTCTCTGTTAAAATAAACGCAGCAAAATCTGAGTTTTTTATAGTTTCTCCTTTTGTCTGAAAGATAGACTTCAAGGTTAATAATGTGTATTGAAGCAGGTGCCCAGCTCCCCACACCACACCCTCCTTCACCCCGTCCCATCTGGGGAGGCCACAGCTTTCCGATGCAGCTCCAAAGCAGTTGTTGTGTTTTTAATGATGCCAGTGCCCTTCGTGTGTGTGTGTGTGTGTGTGTGTGTGTGCACAGTGTCTACAACGTGCTTATTTAATAATTGCCAAAATATTTCGACTAGAGCACCTTCCAACTGGCCCAGTGGGTTGTGCCGTTCTCCTGTTGTGGTTTGTTTTGTTTTGTTTTCATTGCCTTCTGTTAAACATGCCCATAGCCCTCCCCTGTGTATCCGTGTATCCGGGATTTAAACTGAAAAGGATGGCTTGAATCCGTGAGTCACGTGTTGCTCTGTTACTCTCGTGTGTTGCCGCCTGGGAGATTCAGCTGCCTAATGACCTTTCTGTTTCTGTAATGGCCGGGAAGAAGCTGGAGGAGGACGGTAGCTGCTAGCTCGGTCCCCGCGGGCCGCGCACCTAGAGTTAATGTAGACACTGGGTTCTGAGTAAGTGTGTTCCCACCGGCCCACGGACTGTTTCTCTCTGTCCTCACCCTAAAGAAAAGCCTCTGTCTGGACCCCTGTCATTGTACTCGTATTTGCCTCTCTAATAAACATCGTATTTTTCTCAGTGTTGTGTATTTTAAATGATTTTTCATCTTTCCAAGAAAATTATTCTGTGTGATTACTTTAACGCTTCCATTTTGAGTAGTGGGGAATTTTCTAGCCAAATGCTTTTTCAAAATTCTGCTTCCCCCTTCCAATGATGACGTCTTCCCGTTTCTCATCCTGTGTGCATCTAAGGGCTTCTCGTCTCTCCCCCACCTCTCGAGATGAGGAACTTTCACTGTTTCTTGAGGAGTGAGCACAGAGAGGCAGGCTTTCCTTTTCACCAGGGATGGGAGCTTTTCCTGCTAGACAACCAAGAGTCTGCATTTGAGAGCCGGGCTTTATCACCGCGCCCCGTTCTGGGGGACGGACCCATTTCTTTATTCCTCTCAGACTTCAGTTGTTCGGCAGCCGGGCCAGAAGCCAGGCTGGGGCTGTAACTTACCAGGTTTCGCTGTGGGCTTCTTTTAGCCCTGGCCCGAAGACCTGCTAAAACTGCAGACCGTGAAAGTTCCTTATCTCAGATGTGCCCATGGTAACCCACTGAGTGCTCTAAAAAAGTCCCTCTCCTCCCCCGCCCCCCAGGCCTCCTCCCC